TGTTTTTTTTGATGCCTATGGTTTCTTCTAGGACTTTTATGGTTTCACGTCATATGTTTAAGTGTTATCCATTTTGAGTTTTCTCTTTTGTATGGTGTAAGTTGGTGGTCTAGTTTTATTTTTTTTGCATATACCTGTCCAATTTTTCCAACACCATTTATTGAAGAGACTGTCTGTGCTACAATTTATGCTCTTGCTTCCTTTGTCAAATATTAATAGAGCATAGTGGTTTGGGTCAATTTCTGGGTTCTTTATTCTGTTCTAATGATCTACATGCCTGTTCTTGTGCCAGTACCAGGCTGTTTTGAGCACAGTGGCTTTGTAGTGTAACTTGATATTTGGTATTGTGATTCCTCCAACATTGTTTTTCTTTCTCAAGATTGTGGCAGCTATTTTCTTTCCTAGCAATATCTTTACTGATACATCTCCTAGGAAAATGGAAACTAAAGAGAAAATAAACAAATGGGACTACATAAAAATAAAAAGCTTCTGCACAGCAAAAGAAACAATCATCAAAATAATAAGAGAGCCCACTACATGAGAGAACATATTTTCCAATGATACATCTGATAAGGTGTAATCTCCAAAATATATAAGGAACTCATACAATTTATCGAAAGGGAGACAAACAGTCCAGTTAAAAAATGGGCAAAGGACCAAAATAGATACTTTTCGAAAGAGGACATACAGAAGGCAGAAAGACATATGAAAACATGCTCAAAGTCACTAATTATACGAGAGATGCAAATCAAAACGACAATGCGGTATCACCTCACACCTGTCAGAATGGCTATCATCAACAAATCAACAAACAACAAGTGTTGGAGAGGATGTGGAGAAAAAGGAACCCTTCTGCACTGCTGGTGGGAATGCAGACTGGTGCAGCCACTGTGGAAAATAGTATGGAATTTCCTCAAAAAATAAAAAATGGAACTCCCATTTGACCCAGTCATCCCACTTCTAGGAATATATCCTAAGAAACCTGAAACACTCATCAGAAAGGATATATGCACCCCTATGTTCTTAGCAGCTCAATTCACCATAGCTAAGATTTGGAAACAGCCTAAGTGCCCATCAGCAGATGAGTGGATAAAAAAACTGTGGTACATCTACACAATGGAATACTATGCAGCTGTAAAGAAGACGAACTCTTACCATTTGCAACAGTATGGATGGACCTGGAGAATATTATGCTGAGTGAAATAAGCCAGTCAGAGAAAGATAAGAATCACATGATCTCACTCATATGTGGACTCTAATGAACCAAATAAACTGATGGTCAAAAATAGTCATAGAAGCATGAACAGACTGTTGAACCTCAGAGGGAAGGCAGGGGAGGGTGGGTGGGAAAAGATCAACCTGTATGCATATATGCATAACCTGTGGACACGGACAATGAGGTGGTGAGGGCCTGGGGTGGGGGAGACGGGAGCAGGCTGGAAGAGGTTAAAGGGGGGAAAAAGGAGGACCTATGTAATACTTTCAACAATAAAGATAAAAAATACTTTAATTTTTCATGTGTTGAGATCCTGCTCATGCTGAGCCCTTCTTTGGACTAGATCTGTTAAGTTGTGAAGCAGAGGGGTGAAGAGGACAAACTCTGGAGCTAATTACCTGGATTAATCCTGACTCCACAGTAGCTATTGAACCTGTTGAAGCCTCAGTTTCATCACCTGCAAAATGGGTATAATAATGCCTGGGACAGAGAAAGTCTTCAATGTTCAGATTAGCTAAAATAAGCATAAAATGTTTGGTATAGTGTCTGCCACAGAGTCAATAAGTGGTACTTTTGTAACAACTATTACGATCGGTGACAATGAGACTAAAGAAAGAGTGGCAGATAAAATGATGGAGAACGTCAGAAAAGTCCATGTGCTGAGGTTACAGGAAAAAATAGAGAGAAATATAATGACCTGCACTGAGCAAGGCTTAACATCTTGGATCTTTAACTAAGGGAAAAGAAAGAAGCACGCAATGGTAGTAAATTAGGAATATGGAGAAATTATCATCGTTGTTTCTTTTTATTTGTGTTTATTGTGTGGTGGTAGGGTGATTACCAGTTTTATTTGAATGTTTTATAAGCTGTTAGATTTATCTACTGAGAATGAACAGATAAATAGGGATGTTATTTCAGCTGTGCCCTGTCATGGGTTCTCACAGCCAGCTCTTCGCTAACTTTCAGACAAGGTTAATTAACGAGGGAAGTTCACCGTGGAGGGAGGAGGGGGAGCGCTGGGTCTGCTGGATGATTCATCTTGTGGTGGTGGTGGTGGGAGGTGATGAATCTCCTCTTGTTAGTGGTTCTGGGGAGGGGTTAGGCATTGGAGGGAAACTTTTATGATACCTTGAGAAAGATGTACTGACTGAGTTATGTCACAGGAGTGTGATCACTTTAACATATATGATTGGATGGAAATGGGAACAGGTCCTAAATCCTTTCCAGTCCTAGACATCCACGATTGTACTTTTTAATATTTTGTTTCTCAAAGGCCCCTTCCTACAGCAAGGTGTCTTCCATCCTAAACCCAAGGAACTCCAGAAACTCTTCTTCCTTATGTTTTCATCATGTTCCCTTCTCGTTCACCACTCACAGGTGACTTGTCACCTGCTCAGGGAGACCTTCTGTGACCCCCCTAACTAATGTGGGGCCCCCATCAGCCATGCCCTCACATTACCTTGCTTCACTGTCCGTGTAATAGTGTAGCCTAATGGTTGAGTACATGGGGTTTTGAGCCAGAATCCCAGAGTTCAAAACCTACTTCTGTCTCTTCAACCTGTGACCTTGACATATGCAATTGACCTCTTCTGCCTTAGTTTCTTCATCTGTAAAATGAAAACAATGGACTACTTTCTTCTAGGATTTTGGCGGGGCTAATACATGTACCCAACACCTCACAGTGTGCATAAATGTTAGCTGCTATTATTTTAGTCCTCATCGCTCTCTGAAACCACCTTCTTTATTATTCCCTTCTCGTCATGTTGTCATTGTCTGTCTCCTCCGGTTACAATGCAATGCCATGGAAGCAGAGACGTTTTAATGTTAGTCCTGCGTTTCCAGGATCTAGAAGAGGCTTCATAGTAGGAGCTCAGTAAATATTTGTTGAATGAGTGAATGTTGTATTAATATTTAAAACGTTAGTTTGCCCAATTTCAGCTCATGTTACTGAGGTTCCCCTATAGCAAAACAAACAAGCAGAACCCAAGCTATTTGGTTTCTTGCCTAGATTATTTTTTACCCAGACATCCCACATTTTTGCAGATCCAAAATTTTTGCAGATCCGAAATTTTACAGAGCTTTTACATCTCTAGTTTGTCATGTGGGTGCTATACATTCTTTCAGAATATTAAATTATCTAATGACATTGAATTACACTAAATATTCCTTTTTCAAATTATACCTCTCCTGTCCTACCTTCTTCACTCCTGGGATATGTCCCCTACGAACCAGTAAAAACCACTAAAGGTGAAGAACAAATGCTGACTGACAGACAGTAATCCTTGAAAAGAAGCCCTACAGCTCCTGAAAGCTGGACACAAAGAATATATCTGTTTTGCATTCAAATGACAATAATCATTAAACCCATATTTTACCAATAGAAACCAAACTGGCTAATGCTACACAGTAATAACTAATAAATGTATTGTGCTCAGCAAGGTAGGAAAATACAAAACGATCCTAAGGATAGAGCCTGGTTTGTTTTCCTCCAACATATCTCGTAACGGGGTCTGTAGGTAAAGCAGCAGCAGGTGGCCACTCAGGCCCTCTCCTTCACTCTGACTCTGTTAAAAGTTATGGCTGCTCTGAGCCTGCCTTTTAGACGAGTCAGCTCAGGTTCGGGTGGTGCACAGAAGGGCCCGATTCCCAACCTGCTGTCTTTGTTTCTCTGAAGAATTCATGTCAAATACAGTGCCTGACTCTGACTTTTATGCAGAGTCTTGATTTATATCAGGTTTTTAAGGCCTGATAATACGGACTGTTGCCTTCACTGACGGGGGTCACCTTAAAGAGCTTAGCTGTCAAAAGCCCTATAGTCTGAAATAGGGAAAGGTTGTGGGGACCACATTCATAGTACAGTCTACTTCTGTTTATCCTCCACATGTAATAAATATTGTTTGAGAGGTTGGTTAGTGTGATATGATTCACATTGCCAAAGGCATTTCATAAGTTTCATAGGTCTTAATTTATGTCGTTATAGTAACTAAAATGATATAATAATGCAGATTGCAGCTCTAGACTTGGTCTTCATTGTTGTGGGGAACATATAATCTGTATAATGAGTATTCTATGTGCTAAGGTATAAGATTTCTAATGTCCAACCTGATTTTCATATTTACATGTATGAATTTCAGTGGCCAGTCTGAAATATTAAAATGGACAGTCTTTCTCTCAAGAGAAAGGGAGACTTTGAAGAGTTAAGTGGGAGAAGTGGAATTCTGATAAGCAGCAATTACAGAATTCTCACTTTAAGGACTGATATATATTTGGCTCACCTTCTCCGACAAAGTGAATTTCTAACATGTGCTGAGGCCCTTGGTGCGTTATTCACAAGTGCTTTAAGAAAAGGCCTGATATTGAGGCATTTGGTGCAGCAGTAATGTCTGAAGTGAGACTAAGGTGTAATGAAGCCCTACCTTGAGACAGGAAGATAGCTGGTCGAACGACCCTTTCACAGGGGTCGCCTAAGACCATCCTGCGTATCAGATATTTACATTACGATTCATAACAGTAGCAACATTACAGTTATGAAGTAGCAACAAAAATAATTTTATGGTTGGGTCACAACATGAGGAACTGTATTTAAAGGGCCAGAAGGTTGAGAACCACTGGCCTAACGTGTAATGAAGCCCTACCTTGAGACAGGAAGATAGCTAAGAACCCTGTGGGTTGCTCAAGATCACATGTATCAATTATACGGACCCAATGCAGTTGGGAAACTCAATACAAATGATCCAGGATTGACCTAAGACAGAGCTATTTCCACTTCCAGAGCCCAGCTTACCTTATATCCTGATGATTTGATGTGCACGCCGCGTTTGGTCAGAGTAGATTTCATTCGGATGAAAAAGGAACGCTCAAGGGTGTTGTCAGTGGTTAGCAGACTGGGACTGGTTGACTCCACTGAGGAATACAAAGACATACACACACGATTTAGATCTCTGCACAGCCCCTCACAGCTACTGCTCAGGTGCAGTCCTTGAGTTCACTAAAAATAAATGACTGATAGGTGCTAAGAGCCCAGTAATCAAGTTACCTCATTTAGAAAATGTTTACTTTGCAGAAAATAAAAAAGAAAAATTAATTTATCCAAAGTAACTTCATTCCAGTTTCTAGCAAGAGTTTTTTGGGCCTTTTAATTCCCAGCAGCTCCCTAAGTGAGGTCTTATAGCAACGAAGCAGTGACAGCACATCTGGAGGGTTGGCCGGTGTGCGTGGAGAGAACTGTCATGAAAAAGAAAGACTCCCCAGACTGACGGGATCAAACTAAGACTCAGGCAGAGCTGCTTCCGCTTCCCAGGAAGGGTAAGGATGGCTTGCTCCTTGTTCTCCCTGAGAATCCTGTCTTGTGTCATTGACCTCCTGGGGCGTTCTGAGAACCACAGAACCATCAAGTGCCCTTGCGTTCTTGAGTTGGTTTTCTTCAGTGGGGAACAGGAAGCATGAAAACTTCTCAACTGACTGAAGACAGAGGCCTGAGAGTGGGATGTACAGACAGAAACAAGCACCAGCTCCTCACAATCCCAACTTTCCATTCCCGTCGCTCACGGCAGCCTGTCCCCTGCCCTCCCCTGAACAGGAAACAGTCTCTGGGTTCCCCCCTTCCCTGCTTCTGGGATGGGAAAATAACAGTGTCCTCCCTTAGTAAGACACTCTTTCCTTTTACATATTTTTAGACTAAGTACAATGCATTTTTACTTATGAAACTTAAAATGGTAGTTTGCCGTCTTGCTGATCTAAAAAATGCCTTTATTCATAAGACTGGAAGGCAACATAAGTCTATTTTCTTTAAAGTCAAGCTCCTAAGGTATCATATAAATTTGTTTTTCCTGCAAAAAAATAATTTTGGGCTGTTTAAGCTCAATAAATGCTCTCATTTTATTCCTCTAAAATAGTGCTTTTAAAGTTTTTCTTATCCTAAAACAAAAAAAAACTTGCAACAACAAATAGTATTTCTTTGGAGCAGCCCTTATTCTGATATTCTCAAAGTAGAATATCAAAATAGCACTGACATTCTCTGGATGGGAGTAAAGATTTAAGAATTAAATATATAGTTTATGAAAACAAAGGAAAATAGGCCAAAAACTGTAAAATTTTATATTATATAACATATTCCGTATTTCTAAGGCAAAGACATCTCTATTTTTTTATATTAAACGTTGTGCTCAGACGAAAGAAGAATGAGAGCTACTGTAATAAGAGAACGCTTGCTATATGTGGTCTGTGGCCTTCCTGTATCACTTCTGTCTGAATGTGACTATATTTTCCTATATTTATGGCATTTCTATTCTGGGGTGATGGAACCACTGACAAGTGTCCTTTTCTTATGTCCCTCTCTTAAGATTTTCTTTTTTTTTTGTTTTAGAGAGAATGGATCTGATGTCATTTTAAATGTACAGCTTTTTATCACTCGAGGGAAAAGCAGAGCCATGTTATATTTAGTACTTTCATTTCTTCTGATTAAATATGAATTACTATGAAATTTTTCTCATCATCTAACACGCCATAATACGCCAACAGCTTTTTAATACACTATATAAGCACAAACTTCTGCTCTAAGAGTTTAATTTACCCCTCTAATCCAATCACATCAACCTTATTTCTCTTATCAGAGATTCCCATTTTGAATTAAATGAGCTCATTAGTTTTAATCAAAAGCAGAGAGATCAAAACTTAAACGTAAATGCTTTAGATCAGAACTGTCAGTCAGCCGTGCAGTTCTATTTTACTAAAACACAAGATCAGAGACCCTTAGAACCATTTTTTTTTTTCTCGTAAGGGATGCCGAGAGCTTGAAGATGTTATATCCTTTTTTTTCCTCCCAAGGACAGATTATACATTTAAGGTTAGACTTAATTTATAGCAGTTTTTCATCCTGGTGGAAATGGAAAACTATGCCAATCTACTGTTGTCCCTTTCACATTTATTGGCCCTGGTCCTCAGAGACTTGAACTAACGTGCTGCCATCAGAATCCACACCGCAAACTCGGCCTTAAAAATTCAGCTCTGTTCAGCAAGATCGTGTTTGCAATAGCTGAGGACAAATGAAACTTCCCAGAGAAGTGAAATATGGTCAGGGCTAGGCTTCTGGACACCCTACCCCAGTAAAGAAGGAGCCATCTACCTGTAGAAGAGTGAGCAATTTAGGCACCATTAGAAATTGTTATTGTGCTCAGTGTGGGACTGCACAGCAAACACTTAGCATGCACATTAGAGACCACAGCATGGGTACTTCCCGCTGAATGGGGATGCGAGACACAAGCTTCCCATGAGCTCTGGAGGCGGAACATTGTGTGCCCCGAATGAAGCAGTGGACACAGCACCCCCATGTGTTACCACAGTAATGGTCTAAACATACAGGGACGCATTAATTCAACCCACAACAGCTGGTGTGCAGTTGTCAAAGTCAAAGTCAGGTTTTGCCCCGTGGAAGCTGAGATTTAAATCTAAACTGGCCCTCAAGCTTTATTTCAAGAGTGTGGAGGGATGGCGTTGAGGAGAAGGGTTTGATTCCTGATGAAGATTTCTCTTTTAATCCCATATGACTGTCTGCTTCTGAGAAGGGGCAGAGGTCATGAGACACACTGTCCCTATCAAAGTAGCATGTGACAAACTCTTTCGGCACCCACAACACAGCCATGTTTGCAAAGGGCCAGCCAGCGCGCTGTGGCCACCCCAGCTCCAACAATGGTGTCTGTCCTGTTCACAGACAGAGGGGAGGTGTCCTCAGTGTCTCAGGTGAGAAGCACCATGTTCACGAAGGTTCTGCTTGGGACAGAGCCAAGGCAGCATGGCCCTGATGGGTGATAGGACTGCGGCACTCAACAGAGAAGGGGTGTGTGCATGTGTGTGCGTACGCGCCTGTGTGTGCATACATGTATGTGTGTGTTGGGGGGAGTGTGAAGAGAGGGTGGAGTAATGAGAAACGTATCCTTAGGACTGGAGCTACATAAAGACAGTGGGAACCAGTCTATGTCAAAGAAGCATTTCAGAGTGCTTTCTAGGAATCAAAGACTTTTCTGTGAACTCACTGAGGCAGGCCGTGATAGCTGCATGCTCTGATAAGAAATCTGGGATTCAGAGACATTACATTTGCTGCCTGAGACACAGGAGAAATTTATGGATAAAACTGGATTAAGTGGTCAAAGCTTAGATGTGGCCAGTTTTGACCTATGAATGATAAACAAGGTGCTAAAAACAAAAACAAAAATAAGACGCATGCAACTCAAAGCTAGATAAAGAAATATACTCTCTTTTGCTGAATGTCAAGGGCCTCAACTTTTCAATAAATCTAAATTATCTCAGCTCTTGAAATGTCAGTTTTTGCATATTTTGTAAAATTTACAGAACAATTTATAGCAAAAGTTGTAATAATTTTTATGCTGGCAAATGCCACCACAATGTGAAACAATGTCTGTGTTTTTCCACATCTGCTTATGATTCCCTAACTGGTTTTGGAGTTGCTGCTTCCTTATCGTTACGTAGGGGCAGAAGGTGGCAGAGGGTAGGAAGGACGGGTGGCTGAGGACCATCTAGTTCTCGCCGGCCAATCCTAGGCCAGGTCCATTCTGGACACCTGCAGTATTTTCCCCAGGGTCTCTGCCGGTGAAGGAGATCAAAGCATACAGAGGGCCTTTCTTTTCAGTCACTCCAAGTGTTAGTGTAATTCTAAACGTCAGAACCCTCCAACTGCCACCAAATCCTGATGTATGAGGGAGAAAAACATTTAAAAATGTTAAGTTTTGAGAAAACGTTGTTACTCTTCCATTGTGAACAAAGTATTTTTCTTTTTAAAGGAGAAGTGGAGTTGGGGGGTAAGGCATTAAGAGCTGGAACTACTCAGATAATCTGCTACTGGGTTCCTGACCTGTAGAAACTACGTAAGATAGCTTTGTTGTTTTTAAGCTGTCAATATTTGGGGTAATTTGTTTTGCAACAATAGATAACTAATATAAGATCCATGTAGAAACTCTGGAAAAATCATCGCCTTGTTTGATCTGTGACAACCATGTATGTGTGTACAACTCACGTGACAGAAGGAATCCGCTACCCGATGTGTCAGTACCTGGAGAACCCACATGTGCAAGGAACGCTGCCTGCAATGCTGACTGTTGTAAGCAGGGCCTGTGTTCTCAAAGGTAAATGCTCAATTGATGTTTCAAAATGCGCAGTTTGCAAGAGATGCTATCAACAGTGTCATCTACAAGATTGTGAGATCTTGAAAAGCAGGCCTGGTGTCCTTTTGTCTTTTGTGTCTATTCTCTGCTCTTCTCCAGCCTCCCTCATCTCCCCAAGTGCCTAGGATTGTGTTTTACATAAGCAGGCACTCAGTCTGCATGTAGAATAAAGTAGCAGTCAGATGCTTTCTTTTAAGAAGAATTATTTTCTTTTACACCAAACATCTCTCTCTCTCTCTCTCTCTCTCTCTCTCTCTCTCTCTCTCTCTCTCTCTCTATCTCTTTTTGGGGCGGGGAGAGGGAATCATTGTGTCTTCTCCTGTACTCATCTCTAAGGAAGCGTTTTCTGCAAAGTGTTATTTTTAGAGTCATAGGCCAGTGGGTTTGGTTGTTGAAAGAGGATTGGCCTGATTTCCCCCAGAATCAGAGGATTCTTTGTTCTCTGTCTTCTGGGGGTTGGTTTTCGTCCCACTGGCCTGTCCTCTACCACGTCGGGCAGGGCAACTTTGAAGGGGGTTGCGGCTCTTAGGAGCCTGGCCTGGATCCTGCGCCCCCGGTGGCGAGGCGGTGTCCACCATCTTCCGTGGACACGGGGGACCACCCCTTGGGTGTCATACACATGAAGTTCCAGCCGTTCTGCTCTGGCTCAGCCATCAGCCTCTCTCTGCTCCCAGCTTTCTCTGGAACGCCATGAAAAAGCCACATTTATTTAGTCTCATTAGGGCT